AATAAACACGGTTTTACCTTTTTGTAAGCGAATAAGGGAATTTAGTTTCTTATTAATAGATAGAGTCGATACTTTGACAAGACTTATTAGATTTATAACAATCTTCTCACTACTACATCAGAACAAACTCACGTTTCCGTCTATTCAAAGCCACTCGATCCGTCACAAACCCTAGATTCTGATGGACGCTACCGAACAATCCGCCGCTGAGAATCAGCTCCAATCTGCTCTCTGGTCCGAAAACGGTTCACTTAACCGTGAGACTTTCCGACAAGATGTGTCATGGAACGATGTTTCTTCTACAAACGTTCTTTCAATATCTACGGTGGTGTAGCCAGTTTTTTACAAATGTTCTTAGCTTTTGGCGTCAAGTAAGGATCATTCACATATCTCTCAGAATTCGGTAAACAAGAATGTGTTAGGCTGTTTATTTACATGATGATTGTTTTTTTTTTTTGGGTCTATTTCCAGCATTTTGTACTTGAGGAGCAAATCATGGAAATTCGTTGTCCAAGTGTCACACCAGAGGCTGTTCTCAAGGCATCTAGACATGTTGATAAGTTTACTGATCTTAAGGTTTAAGGATGGAAAACTGGAACATGTTACGTTGTGGACCATTTGTTTAAAGACTATTGCAACGAGAAGCTGAAGAAATATCTTACCATATCTACTAAGGAAGGTAATGAATTGGAAGATGTTCTTGCTAATTTGGAAGGTTATACTACTGAAGTGCTTGGTGCTAAGATCAAAGAGTATCGAATCACTGCTCCATACACGAAGAACACACTTTCTGATCCTTATCCGTCTAATTTGATGTTTCAAACATCCATTGGTCCTTCGGCTCTTAATACCGGGTGAGTATTCTTCATGCTATAATCGTTAAGTTTCTTTTTTAAGTTTTTTTTTTCTTATCAAGTTTGTGTGTGTGTTCCAGTTACATGCGTCTTGAAACTGCTCAAGGTATTTTTATGAACTTTATGGAGTTCTATACTTACAATGGAAGAAAACTTCCCTTTGCCGCTACTCAAGTTGGTCAAGCCTTTAGAAACGAGGTGATTATTCATTAATTTTTCTACTGATTTGCTTTGATATGTTCTTTAGAGTGGATATGTTTCATTAAGTAACCATGTTACTCGCAGATATCTCCTCGTCAAGGTCTTCTTAGGGTTCGTGAGTTCACATTGGCAGAAATTGAGCACTTTGTTGATCCTGATGATAAGTCACATCCTAAATTCTCTCATGTAGCAAATTTGGAATTCCTTATGTTTCCAAGAGAAGAAAAAATGTCTGGCCAATCTGCCAAAAAACTTTGCTTCGGTGAAGCTGTTGCCAAGGTCAGTATTTATCATAATATTCGTCTTCTTAATTCTACCATGCCCTTTTCATTTTTTTTGTTATTGATGTGTGCAACTGAATATTTATTTGAATAGGGAACTGTGAACAATGAAACTKTAGGTTACTTCATTGGCAGAGTGTATCTTTTCCTTGTCCGCCTAGGCATAGACAAAGAACGGTTACGTTTTCGCCAACATTTAGCAAATGAAATGGCCCATTATGCAGTAGATTGTTGGGATGCTGAAAGCGAGACTTTTTTACGGGTGGATTGAATGCGTTGGTTTTGCAGATAGGTCTACATACGACTTACGTGCTCACTCGGTAAGAACTCACCTTTTGCTTCTGATTTCATCATTTTGTTTAACAGATACGTACATATTTAGTTATCAAACCCCATTGCTAAAGTAGATACATTGTTGCATGGCAGAAAAAAAAAAGTCACGCTCTTGAGGCTGAAGAGAAATTTTCAGAACCTAAAGAAGTAGAGGTATATTCCATTAAAATTTTTTTGTGTTTTTATACGTGTCTTTAAGATTTTTAATATGGTTCTCTGATATTTTCAGAAACTTGTTATTACTCCTGTGAAGAAAGAACTGAGCCTTGCATTCAAGAGAATGTGGTTGAATCTTTGGAGGTAAACTAAATTAAGTACTTCATCAGCTTAATCACTAAGACGCTTCTTAATTTCTCTCATGGTTAATTAATTAATAATCAACATGATTGGTTTTAATGTTTTGTTAGGCAATGAATCAGCAAGAACCTATGGAGATGAAAGCAACCCTGGAATCCAAAGGAAAAGTTGAATTCTACGTGTGTACACTCACGAAAAACGTGATCATCAATAAAAATATGGTGTCAATCTCAAAGGTGAATAAGAAAGAGCACCAGAGAAAATTCAATCCTTCATTGATTGAACCATCTTTTGGTATTGGTCGGATCATATACTGTCTCTACAAGCACTGTTTCAGTACAAGGCTGAGCAAAGCACGGGACGAACAGTTGAACGTGTTCCGTTTCTCTCCTCTTGTAGCACCTATCAAGTGCATGGTTGTCCCGCTTGTTCGTAACGAACAATACGAGAAAGTAACTCAAGGCATCTCCAAGGAACTAACTTCTTTTGACATCTAACATAAGATTGACATCACTGGTACGTAAAAAAAAAACAAATTTGAAATATGAATCTTTTTAAGAAAATTTTAAATGTATTGACGATTTATGTGCGTGTGTGTGTGAATAGGTACATCGATAGGTAAAAAATATGCGAGATCGCATGAGCTTGGTGTGCCATTTGCAATAACAGTGGATTCGGAGACATCAGTGACACTCAGCGAAAGAGACAGCAAAAACCAAGTCCGAGACAACTTTAAGGAGGCGGTCTCTGTAGTGAGCTCACTCTCTAAGGGAGAGATGACGTGGCAAGACGTTGATATATTCATATCTTTACATTTTCTATATACATATTTGCACATTATTATCTCTCATTCAGCATCATTCTGCATCATTTAGGGCTCTTTTAGCCTTAGTTTACCTTAGATTTGCATCTTAGGTTTCTAGGTTAGTGTTTGTACATATTCTTCTTCTTTTATCCTTTTTCAAATGGTATATGTGCAAAAATGGAGTTATCTGGCTATCAAGAGCCTGGAGGATTAAAGAGGAGTGCTGAGAGATGGAAGCAGAGACAAATTGGGTTTGAATGCTTGAAAATGGAAGCAGAGGAGCAGATATTGGTCATCGTATACCGGATATGATCGATAAACCGCACCTGGAACAGCGGGAAGATGGAGTCTCACCAGATACAACTTCAGTGTATCAGGATATCGGCTGCCACCAAAAACCAGAGCACCAATATCCCAGGTTATCCCCTTGTCACGATGGAACATCAAAGACTCTCCAACCGTTAGACCAGGCGCGGTATATCGGCTGAACCTGATATTGAAGACATCAATATCCTCTGATATCGACATAAGCCGATAAATAAGACCGACAACCTATGCCTAACGAGGAACAATGTCGTAACACGACTGCTGGATGAACCACTGGAACTGCACTGGATATCGATCACTTTTCTGATATTGGAGTGACTAATCCTTCTTTTATTTTGTTGACTTTTTCGGGTCAACCGTTGACCTTGACCGGATGATCCGGTTTCCTTTGGATCGACCCGAGTACTGTTTTTGCGGGGTATAAATGTGTTCTTAGCCCCTGAAAAACCTAAGTTTCGTTTTTCTTTCCTTTGGCATTTTTAGAAGCTTTTTTTTTTTACGTTGTAGTTGTAATCGACCCTTAGAGCATTGATATATTTTGGCTCCGCTTCGGCTTCAGTACATAGGTTGTTTCTGGTGATACTTGTGCTGGTGGTGGTGCTGTTACTACTGATCCTTGGCCTCGGTTATTTTACTTTGTTTATTTTATGATAACAAATCAATTTATTTACTATGTCTATGTTTACAAATTAGTTATTTAGACGTTTTTTAAGA